TATATATATATATCATTAAGAGATACCATATTAAATGCAATGAGAAAAAGTAGAACGAAAGATACTATGTCAAATGCAACAAAAAAAAAATGAAAGATATCGCATGTTGGCTTGTTTTTTAAGAAATCATTGTTCAGTAACGATCAACTGTATGTAGTTGTTTCACGCGTTACGAATTGTAAGGGTTGAAGATTTTAATGTGGCTATGACGATGTACCAAAAACTCAGACAAAAAAATATTGTGTACAAAGAAATATTTAATAATATATAAAAAACATTTTATTTTATTTTAATAAATACATTTTATTTTTTGAACTATGATCACATCATTCAAATTAAAATGTTTCTCTTAATATTACTAGCAAATGCTTGGGTATCACACTAGGTATGTTATTTTACAGCCTAAGAAATAAAAAACAAGCAATAATTAATTATAAAGTAAATAGAAAAGAAAAAAAAAAAAAAAAAAAAACCTTGTGATACACACAGTTAATAATATATAAATTAATAAAATGTGTGAGACACACTGTTTGTCCGACAGAACATCTCCAATATTCAATAAGGCTTATCACACGTGAAGGTTAATGATAAACCTCCCGATTCACTAGCCATCATTCACCTGATTCGCCACCGTCGACGGCCCAGTACGTGGAAAATTTGTGCAAATTTTAGCTGCCTAATTCAAATGGTTCACAGTTATCCCTCTCTATATATTAATTCAAAACGTGTTGAGGCTAGGTGACAGATTCTCACAGTACTTCGGATACTGCCATGGCAAAAATCTATGATTTGGGATGTTTTTACTTTTTATATTATGATCTGAAGTTAAGTTTGGTATTAGACATAGATAATTTTACACATATATTTATTAACTCAACACTCATGTTATACATGGGTATTAATACTAGTTTAGATTATTTCTAGTTTTTTAAAATCTATCTATATATTAAAAGAATAACATTTTTTGCTTATCCGCCAAAAAACTGTCGCCAAACATTAAATGTATATATTTTTTTAAATTTTCCCTCCAAAAGATGCCTTTTTTTTTGGCTAAACTCCCAACAAAATTCACGTGGGTAATTTGTTAGCAATAATATCGGCGCAATTTTCAAGATTCTATTCCTATTTTTTAGTTAAACAAAATGATCTAATTTATGGTAGATATTTTTTTTTTCCATTTATTTTTTGGGCTAATAAAAAAAAATCGGCGCTATTTGGTTAAACGTAATGATCTGATTCCATTCCTACTTTTTTTGGTTAAACAAAATATTTTTTTTATTACGGTAGATATTTATTTTTAACATAATAAATATTTATTATGGTAGATATTTTTTTTTCCATTTTTTTGGCTAATCAAAATTGCTTAAAATTCGCATGGTGAATTTGTTAACAATAAAATCGGAGCTGTTTTGTTAACAAATCAAAATTGCTTTAAATTCGCATGGTGAATTTGTTAACAATAAAATCGGAGCTGTTTTGTTAACAATAAAATCGGAGCTGTTACTTTTTTTTGGCTAATCAAATTGCAGAAAATATAATAAATATTGGATGACATCTCATAATATAAATTGTTATAGATATCTATCTATATATTAAAAGAATAACCTCTTAAGATATTTGGCGCCAATTTTATAAAACACCCGCCAATCTCATAATAAGTGTTTTAAAAAATAGATATTGTTGGACATTTATGAATAGGGAATAAATCGGCTGATTTATTGGATAACGTACATAGAAGAAATCTTATCTCATTCACCCTTCTGTTCACACTTAATTCCATATGGAAAAATCCTATTATATAGATACCTATAAATTTTAAAAATCTCATCTCTTATCTATTTATTTTAACATATTTTTTCTAAAAAACCATCATAACAGAATTTCTTTTTCTTAAAACAAGTTAACTGTCTAATCGCAAATATAAATCATTCGGTAAATTTTTTTTTAAAAAAAAAAATAATTTTCACCCATCTAAATACTAATATTTTTTAACAATTATTAACCCTTATAATATTTTAGAGGTCGTTAGTATATTTATCACATATTTCTCTCTCAAACTACATACAATAAAAAGTTATAAGAAGAAATGTAGAATTAAATATTGTCTTCAATTTTTATCTGATTATTAGTTATATATATTTGTTACAGTTTACATTAATCTTTGAGCTGTATTTGTATACTTAATAAATCTGCATAAAGCGTGAAATTATTATGTGTACAAAATTTCTTCTTAACGGCAACAAACTTATAAAAAAATAATAATTTTGAAATATTATATACTCAAATTTTGAGAAGTACCGTCGTAATTTGGGATCATGTCAATATTTATTTTATATATACTAGGTAAATTTTCTCTCAGAAAATTTATAATGTCTTTATTTAGGCTTACAAAATTTTAGATACTTTTATATGATATTTTATCATGTCATATTATAACTATATATTCATATACGCACACATACACACACACACACACACACATATGATATATATATATATATACATATATATATATATATTAAGTTTAAATATTTTTAGATATTTTTTTTTTTCAAAATAGTTTAGGAAAATTGTAAGTTTAACTATTTTCTTTTAATCTTAACCCAAGAAATCGGTCATCCATAATGCACCCTAAATTGATGGGTTTTGTTGATGTATTTTTTGAAAATTTCAGATGTCAAATTCCATTCTCAATTAAATATAAATCAAAATCCGTTCTTATTTTTTATTCAAGAAATCTAATTGAAAATAATTAGGTCTCATTTCGAATATAAAATTTTAATTTTTAAATCCCTTATCATTGAGTTCCATAAAATCGGCCCACATTTATTGCATGCCTGTAGATTTTTTAATTTTTTTTAATTTATTAACACCCAAAATCGATTAACCTTAAATGCACCCTAAAATTATGGGTATTGTAGATTTAATTTTGGTATATTTCTGTAGTGTTTACGATTTTCTAGAAATCAAAATCCTTTCTTATTTTTTATTCGCAAAATCTGGCTGAACTAAAAATTGGCTGAATGAAAATTTTCAATTAGAAAAAATACAATCACATATTCTCATATAAATGAAGTTCCTATTAAACTACTATTATATATATATATATATATATATATATATATATATATATATTGGCAATATAAAATTCGAATTAACTATAGATTATCACGAAAGACGTTTTACGATATCCGTTATATTTTGCTTTATAATCTTCATAAAACAAGTATAAAACATATAAGATATATCCTGCTAAATAATTTAATTGATTTACTACTTGTCTAGAATTCTAATATATGTAACCTTCACGGCCAACTTTATGCATGTTTCACGCGCTATGAATCTTAAGTGTTTGAAAATTTTAATTTGTGGCGGTAGACGATTTAACAAAAAGGCAAACAACTAATGTTGTATACAAGAATGCGTTTCTTAATATATAAGTTACATTTTATTTTATTCTAATATATGCGTTTTACGTTTTTTCATTCATCCAATCTAAATGCTTACCATAATAAAACTAACCCGTGCATCGCACGGGTACCACACTAGTTGATCAGAAAGCATTGTTTCACATTTTTTCCCTTTCAATGATCAAAATTTCCGGACTTGGCGCGAGGGATACTTTCACCTTATTTTTTCTTTTTTATAATTTAAACTTCATAATTTACTATCTGCTTTTATATTTGATGGAAAATCATGTTAGATTCCTTTTTTCCTAAGAATAACATTGAGGTTTTCCATTAAAATTGAAAATAACACAAGAACAAACTACTTCAACGTATCTCTCAAATTAAATGATATGGAATATCACATTTTACTTTCATATCCATGGGAAAAATCTAAACCCAATCATCAACCAATTACCATTTTTTTCCTTGAGAATGAGATCTGAATCAGAAAACAGAAACACTTGCATGATTCAAGGACAATGTACATTTCAGGTGAAAATTTTAATACTGCTAAAAGTCGAATACTCCCTCCTCTTTGTGTTTAAAAGTAAGAAGGAACAAAATTTTATGCAAAATAATTTGCTTGCATGAAGTGATCATTGGTTCGGAATAACAAAAACTATTGGCGTTTTGTGGATGGGAGCAAACAGTCATACACGCGAACCATGCGTGACGTGATACCGAGCTTATGTCCAGTTTCGATTCCTGGCTTCGCCAAATCAACAATGTCCTGTCTTAAACTGACAAGACCAAAAAAGAACAAAAAAAAACGAAGAAAAAATAGTCACGTTGCTTGAAGGAACAAGAAATAAAAACTGAGGGAATCATGGACGGAGAGCTGTACGAAGATAAAACTGGATACAGTGAGAAAGACACTAACCATATCCATTCACCCGTTGTCTTGGCATGTCTCTCCACCACACAGTATAGGGAATCAAGGAAACACAGAGCCAGGCCGTACATGCACTGTGCATCGTTTTCCTGCAAGATTTGACCGAAAAGAAAATAGAGAATTATTCTCCGGTGTTGAGGAACTGGAGACTTTGGTCGAATTGTTTGCAATTTATTTATTTATTTTCTGGTGTTGAGAACTGAGATAACTCTTGCTGAACTAGCTTATGTGATATGATGAAGTGCTTTAATCAAATGACAACTATGCCCGGTCGTAGCAATCTAATTTCAGAATGACATTTGTCACAATATAATAATGAAAGCACACGTACCAATCCTTGATCTTTGCAAATCTGGAACTGCATTATAGCTCTCTCAATTTCCACTAGCAGTAGCCTTCTCTGTATACGAGCAATTCTTCCCCTGCCTTCAGCTCGGGTATCCTAATTCAAGAATTCAGATTTTCTTAGTACGACTTTAATTATAAAACCCAATGCTGACACCGACATACCTCCAGCAGAAAGAGAAAATCATGCTCGGCAAAATGAATGCTGCCTCAATAGTGGAATGATAAAATCTTGCCTATAATATGATGTCTTAAACCATGGTGATCCAAAGATAGTTGCCTAACTTTTCAAATTTGTTTGGACAATTTAACATTTCAATTATTAGATAAAAACAAAAACTGAAACAAGTTGTAGCTACAATGACATTTACTAAAGACAGTAGACATTAGTTGAAAGGGTTTCAATTATCTTTAAAGACATGAATACCAGAAAACATCTTGCTGCATTCAAAATTTTGACCAATATAGCTAAAGACAAATGCTTACCTGTTTAAACCATGCCCGCACCAACATGAGCAGAATGAGCGAAAGAAAGAACGCGGGCAAAGCAGCTAAAATGGCAAAGTTGATCTCATTGGCCCTCAGGATCTGATCTAGCTCAAGCATTGCTCTATTTTGAAAAGTTCAAACATATGGGACAAACTTCTAGTTGCAATACATGGCTTAAACAAGAAAATACAGGATAAAGTCACTTACTCTTCAATATCCAGTTTTAGCTTCTGAACCTGAATTAAAGAACTATATTAGGTGACAAGACCAACAACTATTGATTTCACCAAGCTGGGTATGTTACCTGAATAAGAAGAGCACGAGCAAGTTCTCCACCAACAAGGCCCTGGATTGGATGCGTAAGTTCTTTCTCGTACCTGCAAATTTTTGTCCTTTAGTACTAACAATATGCACTCTTTGTCGCTAGCAAGGTCAATTTGGTAACCACACATTAACGTGGACCTACATTTGACAGCATAAATATATTTTAAATCTACAAAATGGATAGCCACCAATTCACTACTCAAGAATTGTTTTCGGTTTATAACTTCCTGAAATGCTTATTAGTTGTTTGGAGGGAATTATCCATCGGATTGTTGCAGGTCAACAAGTTATGATGCTCAAGAAACCTCAATATTCTCATACTTGGTTTGCTGAAGAGGTTTAGGCATGAAACATAAGAACATGTAAGTGGTGCTGTAAGCAAGTTGAAGTCTGTTCGTGTTTGAATAATTTAGTAAGCAAGTTTCGACAATCTGTTTGATTAAATCAAGTTTAGTCGCCTGTAATGGTTTGTGCTAGACAATAAAAAATATAAATTAATTAATTTACAATTTTTTAAAAATATTATACATATAAAATAAATAAATAAATAAATAATATAGTATAATATAATAAATTATGATCAAGAACATTATCAAACGTTTGTGAAATTGCTCATGAAAATACGAGCCTAATTTTCTGTTGGGGCTTGGCACAATTAACAAACTAACAAGCTTCATTTGACCTCAAACTAGCTATTGTTCGTGAATGTTCAGTTCGTTTGCAGCTCTAGTGTAAGTGCCCCAAACTAGTTTGCTTGGCAAGTGGTTACAAATATAGAAAAAACTTAGCTACTGAAACAGAAGTCATAAACAAATGGAATTTAAAAATGTTCTACAGTCGAGAAAGACGATGACTATGAAATCAAAAAGTTGATCAAAGATGCATTTGACTGGTGCAAGACATAAGTTATGATTAGAGATCCTGGTCCTCATAATACAGATCTATATTTCTGATCTGTCTAGATGAAAAAGGAGAAAACTAGTCTAAGCCATCTCAATTAATGTACAAAAGAGCAAACTAGTGAATTTTTTTACTGCATCTAAAGAATTTTTACTGTATTTAGGCTTGTAATTCTATCTAATCTACCTTATCCTACAAGTATTTGAAGCAATTGTAAGCAACTAATGGAGTCTCTCCGAACATACGAAGTTTCTAAATAATACCGTCAGAAACTTGTATAATTCTTCCTTATGAGGTAATAAAAAGTGGATTATAAGGAGTGCATCAAGTTTCATTGTTATTAAATGATGCTCGCGTACTTCTTATATTAGAAAATGAAATATTACCTGGTCATTACAATTTCCAGCATTTCCTGGTCGGATGCATTTTGTGGAAATTTTTTACCTACTGCCTGCTCACTGAAAGCTAGCAGCATTCTGTGAACAGAAAAAAAAAAAATAAAAAAAAAATAAAAAAAAAAATGATTGCAGGTGGAATAAATGTCAAGATTAAAGCAGTGAATACACAATAAAATTAATATACTTAATATATATGTAAGTGTGTGTGTGTGTGTGTGTGTGTGAAGATAAAAGCACATAAAACAGAAAAGGAGATAGCTAAGCATGGCAGAATCATATTCCAGAGTAATAGAACAAAAGCACAGGACCCAGCACATGTTACAAAGTAATAATCTTAAAACAAACAACAAATTCGTGACAAAAGTTGCCACATTAAAACCTGATACATCATTCTTCCTGATGAGAAAATTTCGGATTAAAGATGCAAGACACACGGCCAATTATGTAGACGGTGTTGTCAAGAAATAACATCTTCAAGGTAACTTATCAAAATGAGCTTGTACTAAACAGAAAACTGACAACTTAAAAAGCAGAAAGTTAACCAGGTTAAAGACCTGTTGTTGAACCTGAAAGTAGAAACTCTCATAAAAGGCAAAGCTTCTGTGTAGTACAACAAACAGCGTGACATTTTTATTTAAAACAATACAATATGGCAAGAAACAACCACCTATTTCCCAATAAAGATGAAAGTGCATATTTAAGTACATAATGGGTAGCTAGTGTCAGAAAACTCAGTAAAAGAAAATTTAATTTGTCAAGATTGAAGCAGCTAACCTATGCAGGGAGTCAGCAGTCAATTGCACTTCTTTACGCTCCATTACTCCTTTTTGCCTTTTTCTGAAGGTCTCAAAAAGCTCATCCCTAATTGCGAGAACCTAAAATGCAGTATAAAAACAAAAGAAATGGGCATTGGATCACAATAGATTAAGATAAATGATTACCCAAATTCCCCCAGAAAATTTTACAAGCGACTTTCAGTAACATGCAAAATTCTAGTACACATAAAAGTATGGAAAGATCTCAATGTATCATACTGACAATCTCAACGAAGGTCAGAAACAGAAGGCTTAGAGTAGTAAATGAAGAAGAGTTGGTCAATATAACAATCCAATGAGTCATGAAGTGAAGGGTTTAGAAAAAAATTAAAAATAAAAATTCAAAGCAGATACAGATCCACCTAGTAATGAATGATGAATCAGGCAACAAAAGGCATGATTTAGAACTCACCAGTCGTTCCAGTATTCTTTCATCAGAAGCAACTTAAAGATTGCATTTAGTTAAACAATTGACACAACATAACATAATATTGAGAAGAAATTCCTTTCTCCTAATCAAGCTTCTTCCACCTACCATAGAGGGCCTCAGACATCTTGCTCAGTAACAAGAGTCTCAATCGCTAGCAATGTCAGCTAAGTTTAAGCATGAAGATCATGAAGCATATTTCATATTGCAGTGGACATGAATCACGATAAAGAATCTGATCATAAAAAAGTTAGGGAGAGTCCAAGGAATCATACTGGCTGCTCAACATGATCGTTCCAAAAGCTTATGGTTGACTCCTTTGCTTCGTGAATCCAATTGTCAATATCAGAGCTTCCCATTAACTTGCTATGGCGAAGAAGCCATAATGAACAAACAGTAAGTCCAAAGGCCCCACAACTATATTGCACCCAGTGCAAAGTTAATTTCCTTGGCTTGCGATGTTTGAAAACCTAAATGGGATTGAAACATTTACATATATGAAGACAGAAGTAACTCAGTCCGCGATAAAACTGCAAGAAGATTGTCTAGTACAGTTAAGAAGAATTCGTGCTATAACAGTCTCATTCTACACCCAGGCTGCCTCATAGGCATTGATGTGACTCGAATGAAGGAAAAATCCATGACATGGTAGCATGATGACAAGAAAATATCAGTGCAAATCACATGTCAAACTACCATATGTAATGCATCTGGTAACTTTGGACATGAACTTAAAATAAAGCAACACTTTCCATGAAAAAGTAACCACTTGACAGCAACTTAAAAACATTGGAAGGGCAGAAGTACAGTTCAGTGAACATTATACATTTCAATGGAAGCAGACTAAGTCCTACTTTACACATGAGTCCCAGATTCCTACAGATATAAATTCCTTCTAAACAAGATAACCATGTGGCGCAATTACACTGACATGGATACCTGTAGGAAATAAATTTTGAATACCACGTGAAATTGAATCCAAATAATGGCTCACACAGGCAACAGGGTATGGAAACCAACTGAACAATGAAAGAGAACTAGCAACACATATTAATATGAACATGTTTGAGAAAAATTCCCTTACAAGCATGGACAAATAGGAATCCAATCTCTGTAGGTTTTCATAAATTAAGTTGACAGCATCTGTGACCTCACAATTCGTCCACTGAGAACCTTCCTGGTTCACTTCAGGAAGTTTTACAAACATCAAAGGGAGGGAATAGCTTCCATCCACCGATGAGCCAGTCTGAAACCCATTGCATGATAAGATTTTGACGGGATAAAGCAGTACAAGGAGAACTACATCAGCATCTTTAAAAGTCATTCGTGTCTCATATAACAGAGTTACAGAAAAATATATTTGGGAAGAAGGTAGTGGCTATGTATCTAACAACTACCTGACGATTTGCATGAAAATGGCCAATCGATGCCTCCAATTTTAGAAAGAGGTCATTGATAGCAACCAATAACGAAGGCAATGAATTACGTGGATCCTTAACCAGATCCTCCCCAAATTTGTCAACCTCCATATAAACCTATGTCCATGGGCAGTTAAAGAAACTTAGCCATGAATGCATAGATGCGCAAATAAGAAATGGTAGGCCAAAACAATTTGTCAAGAAAAAAAAAAAAAAAAAACAATAAGTAGCCAAGTTCTGTTCGAATTGCTAAATTGATACAAAAAATTAGAACTAACGAGTGAAGGAGAATTAGAGAAAACAAGCCAAATCTACTCTTCAAATCTTTTTATCAAAAAACAATAGATAAAAGAAGGCTAAGTTGAATTAATAGGACACCAAATGCTTGCAAGGAAAACCTTAACGAAACTCACTTATCAATACATGACCATTTTTAATAACAGAGACGAGTCTCAATGTTATCAACCGATATGTAACCAACATAATTTAGTATGTTGACTCACGGAATACTCTTCAAATATATATTCTCTTAATCTGTCGCTTAGCTTATCCAAGTTTTATCATCTTAGGGCTTCTCTAGATTCAACTTCTCGAAGTTAGATGTTATCTAATCTTCTTAAGTTCTTTTAAAAACCAACATATCATACGAAAAACTAACTAACCTTCGCCAAAAAGGTAGCCATTGAATATCGTAGACTATTCAATACGCTGATCCTCTCAGATATATGGGAAGATGCTGAACTATAGAGCTTTTCCATGCTAGAACCATCAGCAAGAGAATCACGTATCAGTTGGAAAGTTCCACTAACAAATGCTCCAGGGCCCCGTTCGCATATCATAAAGTATGCTTTCTGGCCTCTAGAACCCTGACATATGAAATTGCATCAAATTAGAAAGAAACACCAATGTTGCTGAACAAATCCAATTTTCACCAGGGGAACACACACTTATTCATGCTGACCTCAGCTCTGGACTGCCAAAACCCCAAATTCTTTTGGATGCTGTGCAAATTTCGAAGTGTGTGCTCAATAATATCCTCCAACACCTCAGTGATTTTACATGTCTCGGATGAAATCCTGTAAGATGAGCATTCAACATAATTCACAACCATAAATCCTGGTTCTATCTGTTTCTAATCCAATGAATGAACAATAAGTATAAAATCCAATCATTCCCCACGATAATCACTCCAGGTTGAGAAAGACGAAAGATAAAGAAAAATAAACGCACACACGCATACAAATAATCCCTTTGTCCACATTATTGCATAGAAGACTTATAGAACACGAGCAAATTTTTTTCCAATACTCCACAAATATAGCTTAAAAACAAACACATTCCTGCCCAAAATTTCCCAGCAAAAAACACATAGACAACAGATTGTTCACGACAAAACGATTTCACCCTGCTTCCACGAAAAACAAGAGAACCAAAATTAGCGACTGCGAATTCATACGCAGCAGACTGGTCGAGTGACGCGGTGGTGGCAGCGGACGGCAGAGGCAAAGGGAGGCAAGTCTTCCGGCGACGCCGTTTTGGGCTGCCATAGACGCCGCGGATCCTCGAGAGCAAAACGTCCACGGAACTTACGGAGATAGGAAAGAATGAGAGCAGGCGGTTGAAGAGGTAGTTGGAGTAGAAGGAGACCAGAGCTTTCGCGTCGAACGACCGCAATGGAGGATCACTCCTCGGAGAAACTTCCATTGTTGCAGCACGCCAAGATTGATCGACGTTGAGTCTAAAATTCTCTTGTATCTATTGTGTATTGTGACTTGTGAGTTGTGATAGAGGAGAGAAAAATGGGTGTAGTATTGTGTGTGACCGTGTGTGAGAGAGAAGGAGGTAAACCGGCGGGTTTGCAGAGGGGTTTTTGCGAGGATGTTGATTCTTGAATGTTAGGAAAGGGAAAACATTGTAAATTTGGTCCTAAAATTTTTGTTGTTATCTACATTGGGTCTAAGACACATTATTTATGGTCTTTTTTTATCTTTTGTTACCAAAACAGTATCACTCTGTCAATACTTAACAGTCTTCTTCATTAAGACGTTAGTCGTTAATTTTTAATTTGGAGAAAATTGTAAATTTGGTCCCATGACTTTTGTTGTTTCACATTTAATCCCAAGTAGTTCGAGAAGAAAAATCGAACAAAATTAATAATCATGCGAAATGAAACTCTCGTCTTCCTCCGATTATCCACAAAATTAAACGCATATTCGAAGACACGATCCCCACAAGACAAATCCATACAAAACAAAAACTCGTCCTGCGTCATTTCACACATGATTAACTCGATTCAAACTCAATTTTTTCAAAATACACGTGCAAAAAACTATAGATGGTCAAGTCAATATATAATAAGCAAATAAAAACAAAACCACATAGCCAACTGTTAAACCCGAGTGTGGGTTTGTAAATTTTTGTGTTAATTTTTGTATTTTTTGTGAATTTTGAGAGAAAGAGAAATAAGGAAGAAGATGATAGATAGAAAGGGAGAGAGAAAGAGCTGAGAGAGAGAGAGAGAGAGAGAGAGAGAGAGAGAAAGTTTGTTGAGCCAAATTTCTCTTTTTTTCACTTCCGAACACATGGGTCCCACAGAACAATACTCTAGCAACTTGGGCCTAGAACAACCTCTAGCTCAATAAGGAATTAACTGCAATTAACTTATCTAACTTTAGCCCAAAAACAGAAAACACATAAATGGTCCAATTAAAATATAAAAACAGCCCACTCGATGGCAATGTTAAGTCTGTCTCTCACGCGCGGTTTTCCCCATCTTCTTCTTCCTCCTCGCACAACCCTAATTTCCTAATTCCAGATCTCACCTCATTGTTCATCTTCAAAACTCCTCCTTTTTCTTCAAAGATCTCACCTTTTCCCCAATTCCTTGTCCTTTTTTGTTGAAAGCCTCCATCTTTGCTTTCCCGTCGGCACAGTGCATGACATTACCCCCGCGATTTTGAGATCCTTGACCGGAAGGATCGAATTTTGGAAAACGACGGTAAAAAAAACCCATATCTTCCCAAGTCCAGAGTTGCGGTAATGATTCATCCCAAAGGACCTGAACTTGAGGTACTTCTTTCCCACTTCGCAGCACCATCCTCTTTTCTGCAGTAGCAATGGGTGCCATTTTAATAACACCGTCTTCATCTGTAACAGGGAGCTGAGGTGAGGAAGGGTTGTTTGGGTGAAGCCGACGCTTGAGAAGGGAACAGTGGAATACAGGATGGACTTTGGAGTCAGCTGGCAGATCTAATCGGTAAAGAACTGGCCCAACCCTTTCTAAGATTGTGTACGGGCCACAAAATTTGGCTGATAGTTTATTATTTCTCCTCAATGAGATTGACTGTTGACGGGATGGTTGTAATTTGAGGAATACTTGTTCCCCCACTTTAAACTGTTTGTCCTCCCTCTTGTGATCTGCATAAAATTTCATTCTTGTTTTGTGCTTGTTTTAAGTTGATTTTGAGTTGTTGTGCCTGCATCTGCCTCTGTTGCAAAAATTGTTTGACATCAGTCTGAGTAGTGTCAAGATAAGGAACCATAGAAAAATTTTGAGGAGGATAACCATAGAGAGCCTGGTAGGGAGTCATTTTCAAACTAGTGTGGAAATTGGTGTTGTACCAATATTCAGCTAGGGCCAACCACTTCATCCATTGTTTTGGGTTAGAATGGACCATGCCCCTTAGGTAGTTTTCTAGGCATTAGTTCAGCCTTTCTGATTGGCCATCAGATTGGGGGTGGTATGATGAGGTCATGTTCAGCTGCACTCCCAAAAGTTTTAACAACTTTTTCCAAAAACACTAGTGAAGACTTTGTCCCTATCTGAAACAATACTCACTGGTAGCCCATGCAGTTTGTAGATGGACTCTAGGAATAGATTGGCCACAGTAGGAGCAGTGAATGGGTGAGATAATGCCATAAAGTGAGCATATTTGGTATACCTGTCAATCACAACCATGATAACATCCTTCCCTGCTGATTTAGGGAGTCCCTCACTAAAATCCATGGCAATGTATGTCCATGCTTGGTCTGGGATGGGAAGGGGTTGTAATAACCCTTGGTAGCCACCTGGTATAGATTTACTTCTCTTGCAGTCATCACAAAGTTGTACCCACTTGAGTACATCTGCCTTGAGTCCAGGCTAATAAAAAACCTCTTTAACTCTCATATAAGTACCTAGAACTCCAGAGTGGCCCCCATATGATGAGTTATGCATGGTAGATAGTATGGATTGCTGCAGCTTAGCTCCCTTACCAATGACCAGCCTCCCTTTGTGCCTGATAATCCCATCAGTGACTGTGAAAATAGGATAAGATGTAGGACTGATAATGTTGGCAGCTAAGACTTTAGAAAGGTAAGCATCTTCTTTGTAGCTATCTTTTACTTCTTGAACCCATGTAGGAATGAGGGTAGTGATGGCCATACTTTCAGTATCCCCTTCTCTTCTGGATAGGGCATCTGCTGCACGGTTTTCTGTTCCTTTCTTATACTTGATTTCATAATCCAACCCTAGGAGCTTAGTGATCCATTTTTGCTGTATAGGTGTCATGACACTCTGATCCAACAAATGTTTCAAGGCTTGCTGGTCAGAATTAATAACAAATTTGTTGCCTTGTAAATAGTACCTCCATCTTTGCACAGCCATTAGCACAGCAAGAAATTCCCTCTCATATATGGAGAGGGCTTGATTCTTTGGGCAGAGCATCTTACTCATATAGGCAATTGGTTGACCTTGCTGCATTAGGACAGCTCCCACTCCCTTCCCACTTGCATCAGTCTCTAGAGTAAAAGGCTTGTTGTAGTCAGGCAAAGCCAAAACTGAAGCACTTGACATGGCTTGTTTCAGATTTTGAAAAGTTGTATCTGCCTCAGGACCCCACTTGAATTGGTCTTTCTTGAGTAAATCGGTTAAGGATTTACTGATAATGCCATTGTTGGGACATATGAGGATCTCGATATGCACAAATCACGGGCAAACATTCAACATAAACCTATGCGCAGCGGATCTAAAGGTTTGATGAAGAAAACTTACTGCTTAAAATTTATGTAGATTTGGCTGGCCCGAACAGTTGACCGCAAATCAAATCTTCTCGGAATCGAACGAACTTGACCAATCCAGAAAGCTGACGTCACGGTGAAGTCAACGGCATTGACCGATCAGAAAACGGAGGTCTCACGCGCTCTCACGCGCGCGTGTAAGTTCCGGCAGCTGCTCCCTTCCAGCGGCGGCTGGCGGCGATCTCTTCGTCTCGTCGTCTTGGTCGTCGTGGTATGGTCACTTTCTGGTTTTGGTCTCCGGTTTGGATGTATGATAGATCTGATTGGAATCCCGTATATACCTTAAGATCTTCTACTGTATTCTCAAACAGCTATCTAGATCTTGTATCAGTGGAGCACAAGAAATAGAACAACTCCTTGTAAGAGAGAGAGAGAGGGGGGGCGGCGTGATTCCCTATTGTATGGGATTGTTCTTCTCTTCCATGAGCCTAATGCTGTATATATAGAGCTACAGTAGGGACCCTAAGGAGAATAGGATAAGGTCTTCTAATATATTAATAATGTGGAGCAACCCCACAATTAATATATTAATAATATTAAAGTCCACCACAATAATATTATTGCACTCCCCTCACCTATCCCAAATTTCATTTGAGACTCCTTATTATAATTATCCGATTTACCTCCCCATGTTTAAGATATAATGTCCATTAATTAATTCGATCACTAATAATCAAGAATTAATTAATATATTATATTACCGAAGCTAGCGCTCGCTCATAGCATTCATATAATGCCGGAATAAATCCACCTGCAGGGTTTAGCATAATACTCCTTCATGAACTCACTTCGGGGACATCATCATACTAACGCACATGGTGACCGTAAATATCCTAATAGCACATCAAACACATAATGTCATTACCCAATTCATTAAGTATGTCAACCCGACTTGGATCTCACCCAAAGAATCAAAGCAACAACAATTATGTGCACATGCCTATTTAATATCTTATGGGTTAAGAGCACGCAATAATTAACTGAGGCCTAGTTCATTTACGACGATCAGTATAAAACGAACATCCCTCTCTGGGATCCTGTTCAATACATAAATGTACTAGTGCAACTAATCGGTCAAGACAAACCGTACGGTTGACACTACAACCGTTCCGATGGGTTGTTCAATTCCATCTAGGTTGTGAACCAATGATTCTTGTTTCGCAAGTAACTGATATAGTGATCTTCTGTACGTCCGATGACGACCCACTTATCTACATGCAAAACAACAGAACGTGGAACTTATTTAACTAAACATAATTCTCATTCATCAAGAAATAACAAGTGTAATATCCACTAAAGCAAAGCTTAAGTATATAACACCAACAATCTCCCACTTATACTTAAAGCTGCCGCTTTACTAGTATAGTCCTATCAATCCGTATCCTAAAAGACCTATGTCGATCCTATCACCATACATTTGACTCCCATTCCCTCTACGTGTTTGGCAAAGACCTTCTCCGGCAAACTTTTCATAAAAGGATCAGCTAGGTTGTCTTCTGATGCAATCTTGGTGATCTCAACTTCTCCTCTTGCCACAGTATCTCTGATAAGGTGGTATTTGCGCTCTATGTGTTTGCTTGCTCTGTGGGCTCGTGGTTCCCTCGAGTTTACTACTGCACCACTGTTATCACAGTACACGGTAATAA